AAAAAGTAAGTTTGTTACAGTTCTCGAGAGACAGAGCAGAGCATGCCATGGAGGGCACAGGGCCATCCAGGAGGCAGGAGTTGGAGAGCGTGGGTTCCACTGGAGAGGCCAGGCTGGGCAGGCGGCTCAGGAGGACTCATGAATAATTTCAGTGGGTTCTGGGGTGCAGGGGCCATCTCTACTGCTTGGTACCTGGCCTCCTGACGAGGTGGCCTGGAAATACTGCCTCCTGAAATTAAGGGCCAGATAGAGGAAGCAGTTCAGGCTCTGCATTGTCTGACCTGCATATGACAGGTGTGTTTTCTGGTGAGTTGTTGCAAAACCTGGGAGGCCCAGAACGTCCCCAGTCAGCAAGGCCTTCGATGCAGGGGCATTGACAATACAGAAATGGGAAAATGTAATTAATTAGCACATGGGATCTTGGGGCGCATCAGACCAGCTGTGGGTGCAGAAAATGCTACAGGGCCCGGTGTCTCCCGTTGAGTGCTGTGAGGGTGGCTGCTCCCTGAGGACCAGCAGGGGGCAGAAGGGAGCAGGCCCTGACATCAAGCAGCAGAGCCTGGAGTCCAGGCTGATATTACTGGAGAAAATCAATCAACTCCACCCCCTTGGGTCATGAGAGAAGCCCACTCCACCTTCACCACTGAAGAAGGGGTCTCAGATCTTCAGCATCTTCCAAGGATATCACCCAGAACCCTGAGAAATTCCAGGTAGGATTTCCAGGCTGCCTCTCCTCCTGACAGCTGACCGAGTGATGGCCCAAGGCCTCTGCAGCTGAGATGTCTGTCTCCTCCATTGCCTGGAGGGTAAACAACAGGCCCGCATCTTTGTGCTCCCAAAGACGGGCTACTTGTCCAATCTCGCCCTTTCCGTTTCCACTCGTGCCACTCCTGCAGTTCCTGCTCCAGAACTGGTATCAAATTCCCTTTTTCCTTCATTCTTCTAAGAGCAAGGAGAAGTGCCTTTGGAAGGTATTGAGAAAAGGTGCAGGTGCCCTTTTTTCCCCCCTAATTTTAAGGGGGTGAGAGAGAAGCCCCCCCAACAGGCTCTTCATGCCAGAATCCACCCCAGCCTCTGTCAGACCAGATCCTGGCCATGTGCACATGCCTTGCAGGTGCAGGAAGGTCTTAGAGATAAACCCCAGACCTTCCCATGTGGGTCAGACTTGCAGAACATTGCAATCCTGGGGCCAGGAGGTGGCATGGTAGTTAAGGTGCTGGACTCCTGCATGGCTGACCATAGTTTAAGTCCCAGATCTGGTGGCTTGAAACTCATGCTGGGTGCACATATGTGTGTGCCCCAAATCCTAGGAGGACAGTGGAGGAGAAGGGATTGTGGCACGGCCATTCCCCCGGGGGTAATGTCTCACTTTCGCTCTCACTGTCTCTGTCTCTGGTGAGCCCATGCTCTACAGGGAGGTCATAGCCCTTTACAGTAGAACTCAATTGCTCCTATCCCTGTACCCATGGTTCCTATAGGTGCTATGTTCCTACACCTTCAGAAGCAGATGCCCCTGACAATGGAACTTAATTAGAAAAAGACCAAGAGGCCCAAGAGACATAAACACTTTCACTTTCTGCTGGGTGGGGCCCGACCAACTGCGATATAAACCTGAAACCCAAACCAAGAAGTGGCAACCCATTTTGGGGCCCCTCCGTTCTTCCTGGGAGCTCTGCTCTTCCTTCCACCTTCTTTAATAAAATCTTCACTTTCAACCTCTCCACATGTCTGCACTTCTCATTCTTCCTGAGCGTGAGAGGAGAATCCGTGTCCTGCTGTGGTGCTGGGCCTGATCGCCCCGAGCCCCTGTATTCCTGCATCAGAGGAATGACATGACAGAGCACCTGCATGTACACTTCGGAGTGAGAGGCAGAGAGAGAGGAGAGACCTTGCCCAGGGTCTGGTCACTCTTCAACCTTCTTCCTCCGGTCTTCAGCTGTTCAGCACTTGCACATGTGCCTAATGTGTTTCAGACAGACCAGGTCAGGGATTAGGATTTGAACCATGGTTGCCTTATGGAATCTAGCCTCTCTCTCTCTCTTTTTAGTTTAGGTTTTTGCCATAAGATATATGCACTTGCCATAGAGACAGAGAGAGCCAGTGCGAAGGAAAGTGAGAAATCACTCCCCAGAGGAGGCAGCCATGCCACAATTCCTTCTCCACTTCCTTCCTGGGGACGCTGAACACGTTGTCAAGGTGCGCCATACTTGAAGGAAAGGAATCACAAAATTCTTGTGGAATGTCTCACCCCTGATTTCCAAGGAGATCTTAAAGCAATAGAAAAAGTTGCTCTCTCAGGACTAGGCGTTTATGTGCGTAATATAGAAACAGATCCAGAATTACAGGGGAAAGCTCATGACCCCCAGGCCAATTTCAACCGGTCTCTCCACACGCTGAAACATGCCAAGGAGGTTCAGCCTGAGGTTATTCAGGTTCTTTCTTTCTTTCTGGTTTTTTTTTTTTTTTTTTTTTAGGTTTGCGCTATAGGGTGCATGCACTTCTCCTCCATTCTCCTCTCGGGATTTTTGGCATGCACGCAAACATGCCTGGCATGAGTTTAAGCCACAGGGCTCAGGACTTGAATGATGGAGCCCAGCAATGTGGCCATTATGCCATCTGCTGGCCCCAAGCCTGAGATTATTTCTAAACCGTCTATCAGGTTGGGTTTAGGTGAGAATGAAAAGCAAGAATATGCAACAATGAAAGCACTCCGTGAGGCAGACCTGGACTGTTTGAGTTTAGGACGATACAGGCAGCCAACGAAGCGCCACCTTTAGGTTGAAGAATATATTACTCCTGAGAAGTTCAAATTCCGGACAAAGTAGGAAATGAACTTGGATTTCATTACACTGCAAGGGGCCCTTTGGTGCAACCTTCCTATAAAGCGGTGAATCTTTTCTGAAAAATCTAGTGGCTAAAAGAAAAACAAAAGCCCTCTAAAACTTAGACAAGACCTCCAAGATCACAGAGATTTTCACATTGA